ATGTTATATATGGTAATTTTATATTAACTTCCAAGCCGGTCTATGTTACCCCGTCAGGGCTGACATTAGGTGGTCTAAGTTACCCCATTTGGGGGCGGTGCCCCCCATTTGCAATTTGCAAACTATGACACTTTCCTAAAATTTGTCATTTGCATATGTTAATGTTACTAGAAGAGTTCTACTACAATGCATCAAAACCTGGAGTTATTTAACCAAAAAATAAAATTGGAGGGGGTACTCTGACAGGCATTAAATAATAGCTTTTTTTCGTGGGTCACATTTTAATTTTTTAACCTATTAGATATGCAAATTTTTTAAATCTTTCTATTGTGTTATGTTGCCTCAGTATTAGGCCTTTAATGCCCATTGACAAAATTTTTCTATGTCAAATAGTTTTTGAGTTGTGGGGGTTTTTGTTAAAAAAACGAAAAGTGGTCTAAGTTACCCCGCTGGTCTAAGTTATCCCATTTTACGGTACCTATAAATTAGAGAATGATGTTTGTGCTTGCAGTTGCAACTTGCAGACAATGTTATCATAACTACATAACATTGTTATGGTTTTACCAATTCTCATGAATTTGCCTAATTTATTTCTGTGAATCAATAGAATTAACATATTTTCATATAAAATTATTGAAAATATCTCATAAGATATGATTTTTCCTGCAATTCTTGGAATTTGAAAAATTCAGTGGAAATTCTGATAATCTTGGTTGGAAGATAGGCATTACATAGCACATTTAACTGGTTCATGTTGTAAATTTAAAAATCATGGTTCTTGTATAAAAGATCAATCCAGCCTTATAACTTAAGGGGACCGACCTCCCTAAAATTTTCAATTTTGGCGTTTTTCAGTTTTTGTTGCTACAAGTTGCTGCTTGCATCCTTGAGTGGACTAAGCTACAGAAGCCTGTACTTTGGTATCCATGCTACATTGAGTGCCTATTTCGAGGCGCACGAGACTTTGTCGCGCCGTCCTGAAAAGTTCAACTTACTGTCACGGAAAACCTATCTCCTCCTACAGTTTTCAAGCTACAGCAATGAGACATATACCATTCGATTCGTAAAGACCAGGCCTATTGACTCTAACATCACTTTTTTGAATTTCGGTCTTTTTCGTTTTTTATATGGGGGAGAAGGGGGGGGAAGGGGTGAAAAATGAGAAAAAAATGGGAAAAATGGAAAAAAACGCAATAAAAAAACTAGATGGAAAATTAAAAAAGTGATGTTAGAGTCGATAGATATGGTCTTTATGAATCGAATGATACGTGTCTCGATGTTGTGGGATGATATTTGTGGGAGGAGATAGATTTTCTGAAGTACCCCTTTTTTAGCTTTTTAGCCGTTTTCTATGAATTTCACGTTTTCTATCAATTTTTTCGAAAAATTCAAAATGTTTTTTTTTTACATTTTACGTATGTATGTGAAGTTTCATGACAATCGGATAATAACTGTAGAAGTTTTCGTATGAGGAGGTCGGTCCCCTTAAGGGGACTGGCTACCCTCCAGAAAAACTTCTACAGTTATTATCCGATCATCATGAAACTTCACATATATACATACGTAAAATGTAAAAATAAGAACATTTTGCTTCTATGAATTTTTCGAAAAAATTGATAGAAAACGTGAAATTCATAGAAAACGGCTTAAATGGGGTACTTTAGAAAATCTATCTCCTCCTACAAATATCATCCTACAACATTGAGACACATATCATTCGATTCGTAAAGACCATACCTATCGACTCTCACATAATTTTTTTTGTGGCGTTTTTTCCCATTTTTCTCATTTTTCCCCCATCTCCTCCCCTTCTCCCCCATATAAAAAACGAACCAGATGGAAATTAAAAAAAGTGATGTGACAATCGATAGGTATGGTCTTTACAAATCGAATGGTATATGTCTCATTGCTGTCGCTTGAAAACTGTAGGAGGAGACCAATCGGAGGTTTTCACCACGCCCAAAAAACTGCCGGGCGGCACGTAAAATGACGTAAAAGAGTCGTAATGTAGCCAACATACCGTAAGTAAGCCTTAAAACCAAGTGAGGAAGGCATAGAGCAACTGGCTGCACACCACTCACCTCGCTGTCATGATAGGCACTGGCTTCTTTGGCGACTGGAGCCTGTATTTATAGTTTCGGCAGGACCCGCCTCCCTATTAACGCCCCTTGCATTATAATGGCCGCCGAGTACCGCCTCATGTTCGACGGGGCGTTACATTTGTGAAATTGCACGTACAAAGATCTTTCTGGTATCGTTCAACGCGTCAGAAAGTAAGCTTTAAGATGAGTATAAGCACCGGATAATGCCATTATTGGCCGCTTTACATCAGACGTTCCTTTTTAGTGTGTCCAGCCTTCTAATTAATCCCATAGACTTTAGTGAAAGGGCTCAATAAACTCCCCCCTTTGGGGGGCTGTTACAAAATCATTTTTCAACGTAGAGGGATGATTCTGGTACCGTTGGATGCGTCAAAAAGTAAGCTTTAAGATGAGCACAAAAACCGGAAAACGCCAAAATTGAAAATTTTAGGGTAGCCAGTCCCCTTAATCAGTACTTGAATATCAGCTAAACATGAAAAGAAAAAATAGTTCTAAATTTTTATATTATACCTATGAATATATGAATACACTTATTCATATATTACCCATCATAAATTCTACCCTGTCAGAGGCAAGGCCAGTAGGCCACCAATTCATTGCCCTTGAAGAGGCTTGTTTGTAAATGTGGCAGAGTGCACATCATGCATAACTGCCAATTTAATGTCAATATTGTTAGATAGAAATCTTGAAAGATGAAAATATTTCAACCTAAAAGCTGAACTTTATACCCTTGATGTTGCAATGGTATTAACTAAAGTATAAGATAAATTAATCTAGCAGAAAGTTTCCTGCTTCAAAAATGGCTGCAAAGTTTCAAACTTGGCTTAGAAAGTAGAAATATGTTGCTATCAAATATATTGTAACTAAAAATCACTGCCATGAATGGCTCATCTGTCCCTAAGTTTTGTGTTTGAGGCTACATTAGCCTGCCAATCGCTCATCATCTGCCTAAGATAATATTCTCTTCATCACCCAGTTATTTATCCCTAGGCCATGCTCAAGAATTGAAATATGAGCATTTATAATTAAAAGTTTGTACCTCCAACACTTAAGTTGGTGCTCCTTTTAAATAAAAAAAATAAGTATCAATATCTGTTGAATTTATATCAGTAACCTGATTTGAATCAAATTGAATTTGAATAACTAATAAATTCTAATTGCCATGAGCTCAGTGAATTTATTAAGTTGAGGTATCTTGGGGCTCTCAGAGGGACTGTGGTGGAGGCTTTGAGAGGAGATATGGGATGGGTGTACGTTTAGAAAGAGAAGAATGAAAGCAGCATTGAGATATAAAGTATGACTGGAAAGAATGGATGATAAATGTTGGGTGTGAAAAATGTACCTGTGGAACTTGAGAGTGAGAAAATGTGAAAGTGTCATGCAATAGCATGCAAGTGTGAGTTACACGATATGTGTTTACCCTGGGCATAAGAGACCAAGAGAGAATGGCTGGTGACAGTACAGGGTGTAACAGGGATTGAATGGGATGTCAAAGAATTGTGGATAGAAATAGAAAAGTGAGTGAAATTATGTGGTTTAAGTGTATGGAAGCAAGGAATGGAAAGACAAGGGCCTGAGATTGTACAATATGAAAAAGATACCTAAGTATGACTGCATAAATGTTGGCAGTAGATGTGGGACCTAATGTTCTGCATGAGAGCAAATGCTTTGAGTGTGAATGCAGGGACATACAGGTGCAATGAAAGAAGAGAGTATATTTGTTTTATGTGTGACAGAAGGGAAAGGTAAACTGTGGAGCATCTGATGATGGAGTGTGATGCATATGAGAGGGAGAGACTGGAAATGATGAGAGTGATACTGGATAAGAGGGGTGAGGGTGATAGTGTGTTGTATGAGCAAATGGGAGATGAATGGATTGCAATGATAGTGGGCCTGTCAACAGAGGTGACTGCTGCTATGACTGAAAGTGGAAAGTGATATTTGGAGAGTGCATGAAGAATGAGGGAGAGGAAGATGTTGCAAGAATGTAGGCCAGAAGGGTGTAAAGAAACAAGCAATAATAAAATAAGATAAATGGAGCAATTATAATGCAATAGGACACAAATAGTCATTTGGGGCCTAAGAGATACATATTTAATATGAACTTTGAATACTACATTGCAATAAATGAGAAATAACAATAATAGACTAGATAAATTTCCTCATGAATTTATTTTTCCCCCCTTCCCATCATACAATTAATTTAAAAAAAACTTGCCCACCCCTCTAGCATCTGCTTTAATTTGGCTTCTACCTGGCATGGTTTTTCTCTTCTCTCCTACTAACAAAACAAAAATGTGATGTGTGGAAGATAGTCAATGTAAAGGCCTGACTCCTGAATGCCCTTATCAGATTCACGAGACCCTAAATCCAAATCCATCTTGGCAAATATGACACATAACAGGAGTTTTCAACTTTTTTTAATTCTTGTTTTGGCTTCAAATATGACTTGTTGACAAATTCTTAAAATTTTATTACTTTGCAGTTTTGGGGATGAGATTAGCAAGAAGGCTGCCAAGAAAGCCCAAAAAGCTGCTGAGAAAGCTGCCAAGAAAGCTCAGCATAAAGCTGAGGAGAGAGCCACAAATGGGAGTGCAACTAATGAACAGGTTGGTTATCAATGACAATAGTTCATTAATGCACCATGAAGAAAAGATTAGTTTGTTTATTAGAATTCATTATATTTACTATGGGAAATATTTTTACATTTTTACTTGTATGGGCATTGAATTTTTTTTTATTTTCAATGAAGGACTACCTAATTCAATTTTTAGTTAGCACTGTGATGACCTTTGATATGATACAAGTATAGGACTATTCATCTGAGACCATATTTGTCTTTATACTAACTTGTTATAGAAATATTGTAAGAATAAGCAACATATTTTAGAAACTTGAGACTGTAAATGCAAGTCACTTTGTGTCTAACTTCTTCAGTCTTGAGTAATATTAGATTTATCCCTTTTATGGGCAAACATAGGAATATAAATAAATTTGAATTTCTGAAGTAACTCCGATAAATTAGGGAAAATTATGAGATAAATTTACTTGTATACATGGATTTATCAAAATGCATGATATTGGAGTATATTGCAAAATAAATTTCTATAAAAGGCAGTCCCTATGCTGAAAAAAATTGAAATTTTTTATTTAATAATCCAATTGCAAAGGTAAACAATCAAGCTGCGATTTGGTTTAATTTTTTCAAGCTTCTTTATATTAAATAAATTGCTATTGCTTCATCTGCCTTATTAAAAAATGCGGAATGAGCGTCAATTTCACTATATGATTCAGAACTTTAAGGAATTTAAATGCTCATATTTCAATTCCTGGGCGTAGCAGGGGGTACAGTTATGTATGTATGGATGAGCAGATGATTGGCGGTTGTCAGAAGCATGATAACTTAGCCTTAAACACAAACAGCAGACAAGCTGGTATGTTTTGAAATAATATTTTAATGACTATATCTGGTAACTTGCCCACTAATGAATGATGATGAAACTGGCATTTATGAGCTGTTGTTGCATTAATGCCTGAACTTGTATTCATTGAAAATTATTATTTCAAACTTACACTTTGGCTGCTAATATCTTCACATACCGTACATTTGGATTCTTTTTACATTTCATAGAATTAATAGTGGAAAAGCACCAAACAATAAATTCACTTGTAATATTTTTATTGCCTTTGATAACTTAGTTTAATAACCATAATTTTGTGCACAGTCTGGTGGACCAGCTGAAGATGTCTCTGTTGGGAAGTATGGCATTTGTGAGCTGATCTGCAGTGTAGAAAATAAACCCGTGCAGCATGTGAACATAAGCCAACTCAATGGCTCCATGATTGGACACACTGTGCTTGTAAGAGCAAGACTACATACTGCCAGAGCTACAGGTTTGTGCTATGTATATACTTTGTAAAAGTTCATTCAATATTTTAATTTATGTTCAGTCTACATGTTCCTTTAAGGGGGGGACTTCTGACGCGTGTCTGCGCTCGTCAGAAGTTCTATGGTATTTCGCGCTCCTAGGGGGATTGTTCCTGAGCGCCCCACCACTGAGCTCGCTGTGTCTGACTGCAGGTCTCAGTTATGGGGTCAAGTTATTATGTAGGTAGGATACCTTACATTAAGTTATTACGTATGTAGGTAGGATCCCTTATATTAAGTTATAATGTAGGTAGGATCCCTTACATTAAGTTATTATGTAGGTTGGATTCCTTACATTTCCCTTCTCGGTCTCTCTTGTGCGGGCGGCCGACGTCCCGTGTAAGCGACCTCTTGTTTGAGTGTCTTCGTTTCTGTTACTTTTCACCTGTCCCTCCTTGTCACTTCGTTTCTTTGAGATGCTAACGCTGGTTCTTTTACGCCAGCTCCAGCAGGCTGGATAATTGAGACCTTCCGCCCCTTGTGGGTGATGTATGATTTTTGATTTGAGAATCTCTTGATAACTGAGACCTTCCACCTCTTTGGTGATGTTCATATTGACTTATGGTGCTAGATAGCTTAATAGCTGAAGCTTTAGAAAACATTTAGCTACTAAACTAACTAATTTAATCTACATGAAGTTTGTATGACAGATGTGCTCCAAACCCTGTTGCAGAAATGCTAAATTTGAAAATTCAATATTTTTTTTCTAATTCATACCACAGCTATTTCGAAAAAAATACCTAAACATAAACTCGGTTGTAATTAGATATATCTATGTATAGAACTAGATATATATAAATCTAGATATATATAGAACTAGATATATATCTAATATTTCTTGAAGGGAAAGTTTACTAATATCTATCTTGTTGTAGGCAAGCAGTGCTTCTTCACCTTACGAAGCCAAGACCACAGCATCCAGTGCGTGCTTGCTCTTGGTCCTTCAGTCTCAAAACAAATGCTCAAGTTTGTTGCTGGTATCAACAAAGAGAGCATTGTGGATGTCACTGGTGTTGTAAGTTTGATAGTAGAGCATCCATAAAAACTGATTTTTAGGAGGACTAAAATGGAAATCTTATTGTGTCATTTGCATCATTTATACCAAATTTGTAATCTGCATATTTTTTGATATGGTAATCTTGTTAATACCTTTTCAGTAGCTATGAAGTTGATGTCCAATATGATCACATAGAGGCTACTACCACCATCACCATTACCGTCTCTATTATCCCAACTGCTACTCCCAGTACCCCTTTTATTAATAATTTCAGGTAGTTAAAGCAGCCCAGGCCGTGTCGTCCTGCACTATAGAAGATTTGGAGATACAGCCAAGCTCTGTAATGGTCGTGTCCCTCGCTGAGCCAAGACTTCCTTTGCAGGTAACTCTGTCAATTTTAGAAGCCAATTAAATTTGTTCAGACGCTTTCAAATTTATGTCACTGGAATAGTGGTGAGAATAAAATTGTCTACATGGTTGTATTCCAATGTTTTATTTTATAAATTCACTATGCATTTTCATCTATAAAATATGATTAAAATTTCTCATTATGTGAATATTGCAATGATAAACACACAAAAACGGCGCTGTATTTATTGTGCTTTTTCTAGCATGAAATGTAAGAGTTACAGTTTCATGACGCTTAAAAAAATATATTTATTTTAACAACATTATGCCACATTCTCAAATTTATGGAGAACATTTGGTAGTGATACGCTGAAAGTTTTCATTCAAGTTTAAATCGCTTCATTGTTAAAGTGTGATTTTTCTTTGTAGTTTTCAACATAATTTACATTCTAATTTTAGAAAGCCCAGACGCGTCAGTGTTGGAAATGAGGACTGAAGATAGCAGCCTTTATTAACTCTTATTATACTGACCTGAAGCGCTAGAAACCTCTCCCTTACTGCCACTAATACTAATAACTCTTGTGTTTTTTAATTGGTTTTAAATTTCACATTCCCCACTCTGATGCTAGATCGACGACGCCCAGCGTGCTGAGACTGAGGGTGACGAAGTAGCACGGGTGCTGCAGGACACTCGTCTGGACCACAGAATACTTGACCTGCGCACTGCGACCAGCCAGGCAACCTTCCGGCTGGAGGGGGGCGTGTGCCGCCTCTTCAGGGAATACCTCACTGCCAAGGGCTTCACAGAGATAATGTGTCCCAAGCTTATATCTGCTGCCAGTGAAGGAGGAGCCAACGTGTTCGGCATGAACTACTTTGAGCGGAAAGCTTTCTTGGCGCAGTCTCCTCAGCTTTACAAGCAGATGGCGATCGCTGGAGACTTTGAGAAAGTCTTCACTATCGGGCCTGTTTTCAGAGCTGAAAACTCTAACACTCACAGGTTCATAAAATTGCCTGATTTACAGAAACTGGTATGAAATAATTTTATCATCAAAAAATAATTAAGTTGATGATTAAGTTGTTCACAAGTTACAATGTCTTAAATTGTTCACAAGTCAATTATGTTTTGTCTCCGCTGTTAGTTTTAGTCTAGTGACACAGTTATTACTCAATATAATTCTCCTTATATGATCGGAGATTGTGAAGTAAGAAGAAACGAATGTCAGCGCATTCAGCTGGTATGATATGGACGGCACTAATACATTGTTGAGTTACTATTGAAATTTTCATTGCAAAATAAATAGGCTCACATGAATTTTTTTGCAGGCACCTGACTGAGTTCGTAGGTCTGGACATGGAGATGGCGTTTGTACATCACTACCACGAAGTGATGATGCTCATCGGGGACATGTTTGTTCATATGTTCCGAGGGCTAGAAAAAGAACATAAACGTGACATTGAGCTAGTGGGAAAGCAGTTTCCTGCAACACCATTTAGGTATACCAACTGTCTGATAAGTGCATAACGTTCGTGTCTAGATATTTTTTCGTCGAATTTTTTTCTAAACTAATTGCAACCTCATTATTGCAGAGAACATATTCATGAACGGGGATGTTTTTCTTAGTTCATTGTTTTGGAATAAATGACTTATTCTTTCCATTCACTGATGATTTTATTTTTCTTATTGATACTTCTCGATTTATTTAAAATATTTCATGCATATGGTTGACCTCTATTAACGAAATACTTGTGGTACAATAGAGACGTTTGAATTATTGTTTTTATATTTTCTAGGCCTGGAGTAGAGTCTAAATTGGGGATTATCATTCAGAACCCAGCTTTTTCCTGACAATGTCATGTAGTTAGTGAAGGATTAAACGTGTTTAAAGTGTTTCAAATACCTGAGTCGAGAATTACATTTTTTATTCATTGTTTCAGATACCTTAGTCCTCCACTTGTACTTCAGTTTCGTGAAGGGGTACAGATGCTGCGTGAGGCTGGAATTGAAATGGAGGACGACGAAGACCTGAGCACTCCAAATGAGAAGTTGCTCGGTCAGTTGGTGAAGGCTAAGTACAACACCGACTTCTTCATCCTGGACAAGTTCCCGCTTGCGGTGCGGCCGTTCTACACCATGCCTGATCCCCGCAATAGCAAGTGGAGTAACTCCTATGATATGTTCATGAGAGGTGAAGAAATTCTCTCTGGGGCTCAGCGAATACACGACCCCAAACTCCTCACTGAGAGAGCCAACCATCACGGCATCGCCATAGACACCATACAGGCGTACATTGACAGCTTCAGGTAAGTTCGAGCCAGTGAGCTTACCTGTGAGAGATTTATTATATTAGCAAGTGAGATTAACTGTGAGAGATGATCTACCTGGCTTCCTGTTAAAATACTCGAATAGCAGCTGGGCTCAGCTTCATAAAAAGCTATTAACAAACAAGAAAACAAGAGGGTCTGGAAAATAAAAAAAAATGCAATGGTTTCAATACCTTCACCTACACTCGTCGTTCCTGGCGGAATGACGAGTGTAGGTTAGAAATGTTATTGGATGTTAAATAAATATTGATGATCACGACCGAACACGAAAGAATCAGATCGAGGGTTTCTTGTCCAAACATTTCTTTGATCTAAGGAAGTCTGAAATATGTCCTCATTAAAAATGAAGTTTCTAAACGTTAATGAAAGCAGGCAAACTTCAGTAAATTTTTTGAAATCTTTCCAAATTAAGATTATTTTTAATTTGTAGATATGGATGCCCACCGCACGCAGGAGGAGGCATAGGTCTGGAGCGCGTCACGATGCTCTACCTCGGCCTGGACAACATCAGGAAAACTTCCATGTTCCCTCGGGACCCTAAACGCCTCACGCCCTAATTCCTCGTACGCCAGTCTGACTCTTACTTCATCAATTGGAACCCGCAACGAAAAAAAAATATTCTCCAGTAACCTTATACGCTTCACGCCCAGATTCGTCTTACGCCGATATGAGCATTATTTTATTCATTTATTAATCCGCCCTGACAATACTTCAACGTTTCTGTGAGGACCTTAACCGCCTTACGCTCTGATTTCTTCCTCTTCACCAGTGCGACAATTCTGTATAAATGGTGCACAACGCTGAAAAGAAAATTCAAATTATTTGTGTAACCATTAATGGCTTCCTAAATCTTGTGAAAGTGTGACAATCTTTAATTCATGACTACGTATCACCTTTGATGTGGGTGACATGATAAAGTTGACTTTACCAAGTTGACGTAATTTGAATGTGTGCTTATTTTTTAATTTGAATGTGTGAGTTTAATAATAATTAACCCTTTGTATACCGACATTACCAGGAATGCTGTTGTGTAGAGAATTAACAACAGTCAATGCATTAGCAGTCGCCGGAAGGTTGATGCACTGTCATTCAACTTACCCCTGATCACAGCCTTATTCTAAATTGCTGGGATGCCGGGGCTACGTTACCCTCACGATTTGCAACCTGAACCAATAGTAAAAATTTTCTCAATTGGCTCGCCTTTATAAAGTAACTAACGCTCGCACTTCCAGTTGAAAACGTCCATTTCTCTTGTTGAACTATGTACACCAACATCGATTATGATGCCTGTGACCTTAATCTTACATTCTGTTGTGCTGGCTTCTTTGTTGGAAATCTCAAAAATTCGTCTAGCTTTTCGGGATAGTTCTGATCATATTGTTTAAATTTTGTGTTCGCTTTGCCGTGGGGGTTCATTGACGTGTTTGGGTCGAATATTGACGCCTGCTCATATTTTGTGCTCGTTCTTTACCTTAAACAAAATTAACGTAATTGACAAAAAGAAGAAACTTGACAATTTGTAGAATTATATTTGTATAATGCCACGGGATAAATTATTCCAATACGGTGGCTACAACTTTGACTTCTCTGATAAGTTTGGCTCAAGACGATTCCTGGTTCACAAAATTTCGCCGAATTATTTGACTATCCATGGGTTGTGCGAAAAATTCGAATTTACTTCATTGATACGCCTATTTCAAGTTCATATACCGCACAATAATTACTACCAAGAAGCCGTTTATTCTAAGGAGAAAGGTCACAGCAGTACTCGTGCGTCATGACTTGCCAGCAGGAGTATTTATCATTCGTTTCAGAAATATCCAACTGAACTTATATTGTCCGTATTAAAACGACTGCAGCAGTCAGTAGAAATGCAGCATCTTGTTGGTTCACCCTACGATGCTGCTTGCCTTCCTCAGCTCCAGCAAGCCACTTACGATGTCCATGGGCAGTTTACGAATGCGGGCAAACTCTTCGGCGTTGGCGTAGCGAAGCTTGGTCATAGGATCCGTGTATAGAGCCTGAAACGAAAATTTAATCGTCAAACTGAGAAATGCAAAACAATTATCAATTTCTGAAAGATGAGACGAGTCTAGTATCGACAAGAAGAGCATTTCAGCCATCACAGCTTTGAGACGAGTGAATCTCGAATATGAAGTAGAATAAAATGAACAATAAGGCTCAATTAATTGAGGGGCATTATCGTCTCGGATGCAGCCTATCCCAGCAACACAGACGCTGGAAACGAAAATGTTACCCGCGCTTGTTTACATAAGTTAAACTCCGAACAGGTCGAAATAACTTGCATGCAATGAAATGTCAAATTTGGCTCTCTAGTTAACGCACTTTGGCAGCGCCCAATGTAGTGGTTCCAAACGGGTTAATTAATCCAGTGATAATTCATAAATCTTTAGGTTTAATGTAGAGGCAAATAAACTTTTACCTACAGTTAGCGGTGTTATAATACAGGTAATTGAATCATTATTGACAATATGAGAGAGGTACCAACTGAATATGAGAGGGTAACAATTGAATTGAGTAAAATGGGGAACAATTTTGTGCTGCAATGATGTAATGTAACCGAGTTACTCACAGGCAGGCCTGAGATGTCCGAGTAACGCTTGGCAGGCTTGAACGGCGGAGGGGCGTCGATGCTGCTGTCTGCAACGCAAGGGAACATAGTAATACACTTTAAATGAGTGCCTCAAAAGTTTGACAATACATGCAAATGTCTTGTGTTTCAGACACCTAATGTATTCTGAATACTACGAGCTTAAATTCAGGAACTTTAATCTTTAGACTAACACTCTTACCGATGAAAAACGAGAAAATATTTTGTAATCACCACACCTCAAGTATAAATGAATTCGGAAATTCTCCAACATGCTTTAGACTTCAAAAACCATCAATGGTGACAATGAGAAAAAAACATGTTCTTAAATTTTTCATTAATTTGATTACTAATAATCCAGTTACCAGCTAGTCAGCGATTAAAGTGATAAAACGAAAAGTGTTATTTCACTGCATCTTCGAAGTACTAATTACTAACACAGCACCGCGTCAGGAGGCCACGTAGCCGCCCTCTCGAGGGCCACGATTTGCTTCAGGCCGCGCCACACTTTCTTCTTGCTGCTCACGATCGACCGATGCTGTACGAAGAGATTCGAGTTAAATTATCAAATATTTGGTACGTAACCTAGAACTTCACTGAAACTTCTACCTAGTTGCATGAGAAAGCGTTATTTTCAATGGAGAAAAATTTGCGCCGTTGCTCATCGTTAAGATAAACTATAAACATACGAAATCCTATCGGTAAATCCACAGCGAAGCGAAATGTCCATCATATATAAAGAAAATAATTCATAACATAATAAAGTACTCGCCTCAAAGTTGGGATTCCTGAAAGGAGGATGTGAATTGCTTTTGTCGTCAGTATTGGACGCGTTTTCCGAGTATGGCACCATGTTGATAACAGAAAGATTATTTTTCGCAACTTGTTGGAGTACTGCGATAACAGAAATACTTTCGGCTTGAGCTAGACAAGTAAAAAATTGTTGTATTTCTTGAGTAAGGGAGCAAGTAGGGGTCTAAATTATTCAATTGCAAACATGTCACTTGTATTCATAAATGTATCGCAAGACAACAAAAGTTGAGATTCCTTATAAATTTTTCTTTAGATAAGGATTCGAGTAAAGTTGTTTGTTTGATAATATGCATTTTATAGTTGAGATGGTCTATCTGATTTTGGCCCCAGAATTTACCATAGGAAAATATAGTATCACATAGAGTCATAGACCAAAAAGAAACAGCGCCAAATTAATTAAGAGCCGTATCATTCAAAAAAAATGAGACCGGACATCACATACTGATTTTATGAATGGGGGATTTGGTGCTAATTTTATCGATTTCCTGGGTTCGCGAACCGCAAAAAAAAACATTACCGGAAGAACTAACTCTAGTTCATTGGTACATGGGAAGAAGTTTTGCGTTATGAATGAGGAAAAAAATATAACTCAGTACTCACTGCAGTGAGTGAGAGAGCGCATTTTCTCGTCGACGAAAACGTGAAGTCACGGACGGACATGACGAGTACAATAGGGCATTTTTTCCATAAATGAGAAAATGCGATTATTTCATTATTTATGCGAGGTTGACATACACGGTGGCCGGGGGAGCGTCTTTCCTCCCCTCAGCAGCAGCCTCTGTGTTACGGCTGCTGCTGTCCGCGCGGCAGATCCAATAAAAAAAAACTCTAATGAAGGGATGTCAATGAATATCGACAAAATAATTTCATTTATTCACAAATTAAGAAGAAATACAAAAGAGAGTAGTTGGAAGCATCAACAACAATACATTTTAATTATTCACAAATTCTGAGGAAATACAAAAGAGAGGATTTGGAAGTATAAACACATTCAATAGTCAATTACGTTGTCTTAAATGGCACTGATAGTGAGGCTGAATGGCGCAACAACATTAAATATTTATGAAAATTATGAGATTTAAAAAGTAAATCGCTTGATCAACTGAAGGTTTCCAAATGAAGCGGAAAAATACTTAAAAAATTTGTGTGCCTCATAATTGAACATAATTACGTTTATGAGAATGGAGTAAGCGAATTTGCAGCGAATTTGCAAGGGGGGGGGGGCGGGCTTTCATAAAAAAAAATCAGCGAAACACTATGTCTGCTATGAAGTAGTCAACAGGCGCCTGCGTAATTCTCTATGAAAAGAATCATTCAAACTTAGCATAAAATGTTCCACATGATCTGGACCAAGTGCAGACATCTGTCGCTTAAGTTCTTCTCTTAAGGTGTTCTTCACTTCGTTGGCTACAGAAACCACGTCTCTCACTCCAATGCCACTGTCGCACTTGTAAGCACCAGCTTTAAAATCATTTACAATCTGAGATACATTTTTCTTCAATATATTGTCTGCTCGGTGAATAATATTCTTGGAACAAATTTGCCTACTATCAGCAGCTTGTTTCACAAGTGCTTCATGACGCAGCAGCAGCGAGGAATTATCTACAGGCATGTTCAAACTCGCCCAAAATGCTTTTTCGAGGATTATTTTGTATTCCAGTGTAGATAGATCTGAACCATTGGTGGATTCAAGGACAACACGTACACAAGATAGATCATCCGTCTTCAAATATGAGTCGAAATCACACTTGGAAGCCATGCGCTCAATAACTTCATCTGGGACTCTTTCTTCCATCGCACGCAACGCGTTACGTTGTAAACATTCATTTAATGAGCAGCGCAGAACTATTTCACAGAAACCAGTTTTGTACTTGGAAGCCAAAGAATAATACTCCAAGCGCATGCTTTCATAATAAAAGTTATCGTCAACGAGAATGACAAAGGAGCCAGGGAAGAGGAGTGACAAAGATAACGAAATTGGCCATTTACTGACGAGCTTTTCTAATTCTGATAATGCAGCTGTTTCATCTCCAGAAAGAATGCGTAGTAACGTCTCAACTTTCATCAACACCTCCTTTCGTGCAGCTTTCAAGTACATGCATTTGATTGAATCCTCTTCTGTGTCTTTACCACACTCCAAACCTCGTGCTAGAGATGCATATTTTTCTTGCTCTGCCAGAGGAATGAGTCTATCATAACAAACGTGAATGTAAGAAAATGACTTCGAGGAAGCAGTGATACTTTCAGTTTCGGTATTGCAACAAGTGAGCGTAGTTTGGATGTTCTCACACTTTGTATTTTCAGATGTTACAGGAATTTTAGAATTATTTGAAGATCCTATGTTCTCACACTTGGTATTTTCAGATCTTACAGGGATTTTAGAATTATTTGAAGATCTTAACAGGTATTTGCACACTGATGTCTTGCCTGACGCGGGAAGCCCACAAACAAGAACTATTGATATTTTGGACATAATGAATTTTCATTAATTTGAAAATAAAAATGGCATCATTGGTTCATTGCCTTGGTTTAGTTAGTAACAAATCAGAACTCTTCAACTCTTCTGAATTGTCATATTCATTTTTCCCATCATCACAAAAAAAGCCTTTTCCAACAGTTTCACCTTTTTCTCTCAAAATGTCTTCAATGTTTTTCTTGCCATTCATATCTGAGAACCAATTTAAATTATCAGCAATTAGGTGCCTGCTATTACATTCATCACAAGTGACTATGACAACTCCTTTTGTGTAAGCAAGCTTTGAGAATTGTTTCTGCTGCCTGGAATTACATATCTTGCATGTGTAGATTAATTTCATAGATGGAGAAGAACCAGGCAATGCATCTGAAGACAATAATCTAGAGGTACAGGAAAAATAGTTCAACTGTTGTAGGGGCCCATTGGATCTTGGGAGTAGAAGGTGAGGTAAACTTAATCTTGCAGTTAACAGATGAGGCCTCAAAACGATACTTTTATTTACTAGGATGCTTTGGATAAGTTTTTGGGTAAATTGAATCCTCAAACAATGCATTTCAAATACTGCACAAAGAAAATAAATGCTATGTTGAACTATTTTCAAATAAGAGGAATGAAAAATTATTCAAGGTTAACTTATATGTAAAGAGTAAACAAGGAACAAATGCAAATAGATTTTTCCAGACATCATCATAAAATTAAAAAGTAAATTGTGAATAGGTAGCATTATGACAGTGATAGATTTTAAAATATTGAGAAATAATTCTGAGATCACAGCACAGCCAAGGGATCATGAACAAAGATTTGTAATTAACTCCAATTTTTCTTTTAAAGAAAGGCAATGGTTGATTTTGACTATTTTTTTTTTTTGGCAACAGCATTATAAACATAACAAATTCTTGATCTTGTCAACTGCTATAGGTACCTAAAGTTATTGGCAGGTCATCATGTCCTTAACATAGGCATTGATTTGACAGCAATTATTGGCCAATCAGGACCCCCATTTTTATGAAGGAGATATTGCAGGCAGTGCAGCAATTGAAAATAAAGTGATAGCTAGTTCTTAATGCAGATCTGGTTTGTAAAGAAATAAAACAAAAAATAAAATTTGTCAAACATCTTAAAAGTACCATCAAATGGGGGTAATAAGGGACAGTTTTGAGCATTTTTTGTTAATAACTTCTTACCATGAAACATTTCATAAATAAGTTTGGGCTCATTTTTTAGCTCTTTGCAAGTGCAAGGGCTATATTAGTATGGCATCTTCAAAAAATTCCATATGCTATTTGTAAGGTGCCAGACACAAAATAAAAGCATCCCAAATTACCCCTGGGAACAGGGAAATCAGGGACACTTGAAATAAAACTCAATTTTAAAACATTTGAAGCATACAGAGTGTACTCATCCATTACTAACAGTACTCTGAAGGCGTTTTCTTCCTTTATAGATGATGTAAATGCAGAATGACATTTTCTGTGTTTTTACTTGTTTATCCTTTATTGATATGATATCACCATATTAATTCATTATCATATCATTGATGTGATATTACTGTATCCGTGAACATGCCATTGAGCAGTTACAACGACCTTGTCCACTGCAAGCTACATATCAGCCGCCATTTAGCATTTCTTCTGTATCTGGAAGCTTAAGAGGATGGCTGGTAATTTCACACCACTTTAATTGGGTTAAGTGAATTCACTATAAAAAAGATTGTAAAAAACGTACCTGAAACAGAAAAGAGTGTTTTAGCAGCAACCACCATATGTTTTGCAGAAATAAATCATATTTTAGGTTAATTACATTTCATTCTATGATACCCAGTGCACAATTCTATCTATGACATTCTGTGCACAATTTTGTGATGACCAATGATGCATTTATTTTTTGATAAGTAAATTTTTTTGCTGAGCAAGGTAAATGTAATCAAAATTCTTTGTTGTTAATCAATTTTTTACAACACTTCTCTTCAACTTCACTTCTTGTTTGTTTGTTTGTCTGCCTGTCTGTCTGCTGAATGAATCAAATGTCAGAATAAAAGATTTTAACATCAAAAAAATCATTTTCTCAATATTAAGAAAACAATTGAAAAAATAATTTTGTCAGCTACAAAAATCTTATAACTGATATTTGACACACTTTTACCTGTCCAATTGGTCTGAAATTTTGCACACTTGTGTGAAGTCGGAGGCAATGCATGAATCAATTGACAAAATAAATATTTTTGAAAAAAAATCTATATATTAAAAAAGTTTATATACTGAAAAATTTAAAAATTAAATTTTTCAATATTCGAAATTCATTGTAAATCTGTAACATTGGAGATACTGGATTCTTTAGAAGTGTTGTCTTTAAAAAGTAATTTTTAAACATATATCATTTGTTAACTGGAGCCTTTGCTAACCAAGGTTAAACTGCAAATGCGTTTGTATGTGTGTTCCTTATTATCCTGGGGGGGAGGTGTCCCTTATTACTTCATCATGCGGAAATTGCTGTCATTTTTTTTTTTTTAATGAGATAGGCAAATTCCGTCAATGGCATTTTCAAGCCAACACCTGTGTGCAGTTTTATGCAAGTAAAATTTTTTAATATGGCAAACATTTTTTTTTGCTCCAGGCCTTAGTAGAGGTACCGTAAAATGAGGTTACTTTGACCGGCGAGGTAACTTTGACCACTTTTTGTTTTTTTAACAAAAACTCCCAAAACTCAAAAACTATTTGACATAGAAAAATTTTGTCAATGGCATCAAAGGCCTAATACTGAGGCTATGTAACACAATTGAAAGATTTAAAAAGTTTGCATATCTAATAGGTTAAAAAATTAATTATGTGACCCACAAAAAAGAGCTATTATTTAAAGCCTGTCGGAGTACCCCCTCCAATTTTTCTATTTTTTGGTAAACTAACTCCAGGTTTTGATGCATTGTAGTAGAACTCTTCTAGTTACATATGCAAATGACAAATTTTAGGAAAGTGTCATAGTTTGCAAATGGGGGGCACCGCTCCCCAATGGGGGAACTTTGACCACCTAATGGCAGCCGTGACGGGCTAACATTGACCGGCTTGGAAATTAAGTAAAAATTACCATAGGTACCTATATAACTTATTTTATGTTTGATACACCCATTAATGTTTTTTTCTTTA